TACTTTTGTCTGTTTCAGTATTATGTCTATCTGGTTTTTCGCTTTTATATATATATATATATATATATATATATATAATATATATATATATATATATATATATATATATATATATATATATATATATATATACATATATATATATATAGCTACATTGGCAGTCTTCAATGTTTCTTCATATATATTGACACATGTGTTTCATGTGTCACCGCTGACTACACCTACCAGCATATATGTATCGAGTATGACATGTGTCGTCATTATCACGACGATGACATGCATGCACATGTCAACATGCAACTACCCCTCACACCACCACCTCCTGCCTCCGACATGAATATCTGTTCATCTCTGTGGCACACTATTGTTCATAATAACCTCTTTGTTCACAGTTCAAGCAGTCAACAGTCATGCTGGCATATTACTGCGGCTTCTCTAAGTCACAGGGGTCACCAACCCTCGGGTCCCTGGGCCGCATGCGGTCCCTTGACTAATACACAAAACACCCGCATATAATCTTATGACGATGTTCCGGTCCGACTTGGCTCTCTGACTAGTCAGTGAGCCAGATCAGACAGAAACATCGTCAATTTACTAGTCTGCGAACCATCAAGTTCCAAGGTCAACATAGGATGACCAACATAGATGATCATTAATTTACTGATTATATTAATATTTTCCCTTCAAGTTTGGTTGCGATGTAAAGTGTTTAGTATCAGCAACTGTACCAAGCACAGCGGGAGAAACCATGTTGCAAGACGAGCTCTCAGTGGGCAACGTTTCGCTGCGTAGCGCTTTATGACGATGAAGTTCTTACACACACAGGGGGAAACGTTGTCACCAAAACCTCGCTCTACAACCTCTCATCCTACCCTTATACGTTACTTTAAAGTCTCCTTGGCAACATTCATAACAACAGCCTGGAAACTAGACAGTTGGTGACCCCTGTTGCAAGACATACCCTGCAAGGTAGCAAGCAACACTGCCCGGTACTCTCTAGTCTTGGTATTAAGGGGAAGGAGGGTGGGTGGGTGGATATCAAGGAACAAGAGCTAGATATTAACGTAGCTGTTACTTGGTTAGAGCCTGCAGGATACTCTCCACAATATTCTACGAATAGTTACACTGTTTTGTATGTACGGTACTGAGGCCTCTGTCTGTGGATGATCCTGGTGTGTTAGTTGAGGTGTTAACTCTGGTGTTGATATTGTGTTGAGTGAAGTGTTGACACTGAGATATTAAGACTGACGTGTTAGATGAGGTGTTAACTGTGGTGTTGACACTGTGGTTATGTTTCTTGGTTGTCAGTATCTTCGTGTACTGACATATAACTTATTGCCAATTTAAAATATCTAAGAGACCAGAAGGAGTTTTTTTCAGTAGTCTTCTCTACGTCACAGTTCTATGACAACTTGAAATATGTTCGTAATAACATAGCTACATTATCACGTCTTTAATATAGAAGAAATGGCGGAAACTTACATATATATGTTTCACTTTGTCTTAATTTTACAAAACCTCAAACTATCGAATATATTAGATAATTTTTTGTGGTACCACGTACCAGAATTAATATTTTCCAATTTCAAAATAGTGCTTTTTAAGTCTATTTTTTTTATTAAAAACATCTTAAATCTATGAAATAATGGCTATATAAAAATCAATGTTTTTTTCCCTCTTAGGCAAAGTTAGTGCAAGACATTATCTATATTGTATTACAAATGAAGCACGTACCTCTGTAAAAAAGGGAGGAAGTTGAGGAGACGAGAGTGACATGTAGTCTCCACCACAGCCAGAACAACACTGATGGTTAGGTTTGGTAAGAGTCTTCAGGAAACAGGACAAGTGTTTCCTGACGCCGGTCTTAATCATATGATGACCCATCACTGGAGCTTCTGGTCATCTGACCGAGTCCTTTCCCTGGCTTACCCTTCCACCACTTTACAGCTTATTTATAACTACAATCCCTAATGGCTGACGCTGCAGTCTGCCTCGTACAATTTTGCAAAAAATAAATCTTTCAAGAAATGCTTATTGTAATACGAGAAACTAACAAATCTAACAACTGAATAAGCAACTAAGTATTTATGTACCTCATTTAATGTGCAATGCTAATATCACTGCAAACTAGAAATTAACTAGAAATTAGCTAGAAAAAATATCCCATAGCTCGATTGGTAGCGTACTCAGCTTACACGAGGACCATGGCTCGATCCCCGGTACGGCTGGTAACATTAGGACGTGTTTCCTTAATTAAAACACCTGCTGTCCCTGTTCACCTAGCAGTAAGTAGGTACGTGGGTGTTAGCCACCTTACACCTGCCGTCCATGTTCACACATCAGTGAAATAGGTACCTGGGTGTTAATTGACCTAATTTGCGGGAAATGCTCTACTTAACCAGGGATTTTCTAGAGATGTCAGCTATGGTCTGTATAAGTTGTATCATGTACTTGTAGAAATAAAGATTATTATTATTATTATTATTATTATTATTATTATTATTATTATTATTATTATTATTATTATTATTATTATTATTATTATTATTATTATTATTATTATTATACAGATATGTGAGCGAAACACGACATCGTTTCTGGGAGAATTTTAAATAGCCAGTATTGCACTTTTTGAACGTTTTTGTCAAAACGTTTCGCTCTAGATTAATCCATCTGGTCTCTAAAAGTGTAAAAGATTAATTCTAAATTTGCGGGGAAGCGCTAAGCCCGTAGGGTTCACCCAGCGCCTGGGTCATGTAGTGTTGTTCTGTAAATGAACACATATGAAACTAATGCGACATTTTTACTGTGGCAACATTTCGCTCTCCAGGAGCTTGGTCGAGCCGTTACCGTCTTGACGAGGCTCCTGTTGCGCGAAACATTACCACTTCGCTAACCTAACATTTTGTTGACGTTTCTACCATTATTACTAATGTTAGGTTTGATCCGAGGATGGGAAGGGGATCCCCAGTTCCTTGGATCAAGAGTAGTACACCCTCCCTCATGGAGGGGTGAAACGTGTTGTGTGGGTCAGAGTGTGTGTGGGACCCCCACCAGGTGGTGTGGCAAGAGACAACACAAGGTGCCAAACTTGTTTTGTCTTTACGACGTCTTGCTTTGTGTAGAGCTCTACACGGGGCGAAACGTCGTGTAATTTTCTTCAATAATGTGGACAGTAGGCCTATAGGGGTATAATAAGGCTGGGCTGGAGTCAAACCTTGTTACTTGTGGTCAGAGGATAAATAGATAGATAGATAGAGAGAGAGAGAGAGAGAGAGAGAGAGAGAGAAAGATGTATGTATATATATATATATATATATATATATATATATATATATATATATATATATAATATATATATATTATATATATATATATATATATATATATATATGCAAAGCATCCACAGGAGTGAGTTGAATGATAGCTCTAGGCTTATTGTATTGCAATCAGCACATCTTTAGGAGCTTGCAATGTTGCAGAAATGAGTAGGAAGTCCAGACAGATTCGTTCAAGGGAACGACTCTAGCGAGAGAGAGAGAGAGAGAGAGAGAGAGAGGGGGGGGAGGATGGTAAACATCATGGGATGGTCGGTACTCAACTATAAACCCAACACCCAAACCATATCACCTCCGGGTTTATTCACTCAGCTGGACATTAAACCCAGTGTGTTTTACCACTGACTCTCAAGCGTCCAAACTGCACTTTTAATTCCATTTTATTCCTGAAGAAGAAATTCTACTAAATTTTCAATCAATGAAAGAAATTTTATCTTATTTTTTTTCTTTTTACTGATTTAAACCAGGACAATATTATGTTAAACCAGGACAATATTATGTTAAACCAGGACAATATTATGTTAAACCAGGACAATATTATGTTAAACCAGGACAATATTTATTGTTCAAAATAATAATGAATATGACAGGTCATTATTAAATTATATGTATATATATATATATATATATATATATATATATATATATATATATATATATATATATATATATATATATATATATATATATATATATATATATTATAAAAATTTTAATATTTTTGAAAGCGTTCAGAATTATTGCTATTATAATTATAACGATTATTATTATAATAATAATTATTATTATAATTATCATTATTTTGATTTTATTTATGATTAGTAGCATCAGTATTATTTTATTAGTATTATTATTATTGTTATTATTATTATTATTATTATTATTATTATTATTATTATTATTATTATTATTATTATTATTATTATTGTTGTTGTTGTTGTTGTTGTTATTGTTATTATTATTATTATTATTATTATTATTATTATTATTATTATTATTATTATTATTATATTATTATTAACATTATTGACATCTTTATTCTTCTTCTTCTTATTATCATTATTAACATCCTTATCCTTATTATTATTATTATTATTCTTTTCTTTATTATCATTATCATTATTATAATTATTATTAATATTATTATAATATGAAGGAAGATGTGAATATTTCGATCTCATAATAAGATCGTCATTATGTAAGAAATATTTCCGTTTTCAATATTCTAGATAAGAGAATATTTAGTTAAATACTATACAATAGAGAATTCATATATTTTAGAAAAATTTCCAACGATTTTTAAGCCCATTTTACACAACTGTGAAGATTTAGTGGGGGTCGAAATTTTAAGCCCCTCCCACCAAAAATTACGTTTGCTCAGTTTAAAATTAGATGGGGCCCTCCGAGAATGGTGAATGGAGGTTCTGGTGAGTCAGGGTATGTGTTCAAGACCCTGATACCATGTGGGTTGGGTCAGGGTATGTATTCAAAACCCTGAACGTTTTGGGTTGAGTCAGGGTATGTGTTCAAACCACTGATACGCTGTGGGTTGAGTCAGGGTATGTGTTCAAGGCCCAGATACCAGTAAGGGTATGTGGTAAGGGTAGGGGAGCACCTCTGACCACTGAACAAGTTTTGGTCTAACAAACAGGTATGACGCACCAGGCTGGGATGCAGTTTCTACTCCACTACTAGACTCGTTGGCGAGGCTACCTCCACCTCCACCACCTCCTCCTCCTGCTGCTGCTACTCCTACTACGCCTGCTGAGGTGTCGTTTGCCACTAGGGTAGACTGCGAACCATTGATGTTTCTGCTAGAGGAAGAGCTGCTGCCGTTCATCCTGGAGGTGTCTGCAGTCTCCTGGCCCCTCGTTCCTGAAGACGACACTGCAATAACAGAAAGAACGAAGATGTTAACTAGAAATTAGTGTTGCAGTGGATAGCTTTATATTTTCATGGGAATGTGTAGAATAGAAAGGTATGTCTGTATGACTGATCAATTGATAGATAGATAGATAGATTCTAGGTAAGACCCCAAGAAGGGGTGAGTGAGGAAGTGGGGATAGAGGAAGAATAAGTTGGTTAGAGGAAGGGTTATTGTAAGAGGGAAAGAACTGATGGTGATTCAGGAGGTCGTGCGCAACTAGGGGACTGGAGGGGGGAAGGGGGGGGCGAGGGAGGGCGAGGGGGGCCGACGGGGGGCGACAAAGCGTGAATCGCATGGTACAAGGGCATTATTAAGGGTCCATACCTGTGAATTACAGGTTAGTGAGTCAAGATTTAGCATGGTTATTTGTATATAGGAATTGGGTCAGGAGCTAGTAACGAGTAGAAGAGGTTGTGTGTGTTTGCTGGTCTGCGTAGTTCGTCGTCTAGGTATGAGGTCCAGTAGTCATGTCGGGTCTCTAGTCTGTCTATTTGTTTGTCGCTAAGCAATTTCCAGTACACGTTTAGAGCAGGGATGTTCGCACGGGCGTGGATGGACTCACTTGTGATGAATTCATCCCAGCGGGTGTTGAACACCCAGTGTAAGGCTTTGTTCTGGATGCGTTGTAGTTTACGTCTGTCACAGCTGCTAGGGAGAGGGCTAGTGGGCAGTAAGTTATTAGTGGACGGATGAGGGCTTTGTATAGATGCAGTTTCGTTTTTATGGAGGCTTGCCTTAGCTTAGACAGCCCCGACAGGGCCTTGGATGCAATGGCTTGCTTCTGGTTGATGTGTTTGTGTATTCGCATGTTGTAGTCTAGATGAACTAAGAAGTTGATTGTCTGCGAGACAGGGATGTTTGTGTGGGTATCAGCTATCCTGAGTATTACTGGAGGAGGTGGTTCGCGTTTCCTGTAGTGGAAGTAGGTGATTTTGGATTTTGCAGGATTGGTTTTAATTCTCCATTTTTGTTCCCAGTGTGTAATCTGGTCTACTTCGGTTTGTGTTCTGCGGGCAAGAGTGGTTATTTGTCTGTGGGTTGTGAGTTGGGTGATGTCATCTGCATATGCAAGTGTTATTGTGGAGTCAAAGGCAGGCGCTGGGATGTCGTTGGTGTAGAGGATGTAGAGGGTGGGTGAAAGGACTGAACCCTGGGGAACTCCAGCATGTAGTGGGAGTACTGAGAGAAGCATCCATGGAACGTAATCCTCATGGTCCTATCATCTAGGAAGTTACAGAGAAGTTTGCTGATAGTCCGAGGGAGGTCGAAGTTGGAACATAGCTTAAACTTTAAGCCGTTGTGCCACACTGTGTCAAATGCTTTCTCAACATCTTTGGCTATTAGGGCTGTCTTTTTCCTTTGGTGTTTGTTTATGTGGATGTAGTTTAGAATTAAATTCAGTGCGTCTTGAGTGGAACGGTTTGATCTGAAGCCAAATTGACCATTGTATAAGAGGGAGTTTGTTTCAAGATGTCTACGTAGTCTTGAGTTCATGATTTTTTCATAGATCTTTCCCAGTACTTCGAGCAAGCTGATGGGGCGGTAGTTTTTTGGGTCAGAGTGGTCTTTATTGGGTTTTGGGATGAGGATAGCAGTAGCTGCTTTGAAGAGAGTGGGGAAGTAGCCGGATGCTAGTGATGCATTGAGGAGGTTGGTGAAGGCTGAGATGATAGAGTCAGGGAGGTGTTTTAGGATGATGTGGTTGATGCCAGAGGCTTCTGGGGCTTTTGGAGGGTGGCGCTGAATGAGAGTTTTAATGTCATAGGCTGTGATGGGGGTGTCCAGTTCCTGAGTGGCAGCGAGTGATTCAAGTTGTATGTACCTGTCTGGTACCGTTAGGTGTACGTGGTCAGTGTTCCATTGGTCTATTTGTTGTGTATGTGGCAGAGTGTCTGGTAGTGGAGGGTGTGGGTGGAAAAGATTCTCCCATATTTCTTTGAAGATGTTTGTTGCTCTTTGTGGGTCAGTGATGTTTCTGTTGTCGTGGGTGATGTGTTCGAATTTGTTGTTGTTGTTGTTACCTCGGATTTTGTTGATGAAGTTCCAGAAAGTTTTGGGGTCTTTTATGCGTTGCTCATTTGCCTGGTGTATGAGTCCAGCCCAATGGGTGTTGTGGTCCTGCTCCAGGCTATGAAGTATGTTATTCCTGAGGTATGTGAGGTCCTGTCTTACCTGGTTGAATCTGTGTGTGTTGAGGCGAAAGCGGTTATGGTAGCATATGAGGAGTCTTTTGGTTCTGGTTGAGGGAGTAAATGAGTATCTGATGGTGTGTGTTTTTGTGGGTACCGCAGTGTTGGTTGCACGTTTGTCTCAAGATGGTAAACGAGTTGTGTGTCCAATATCTGTGATTGGTTTGTTGTTGTAGTCATAGTTCAGATTTGTGTTGGTGATGGTGTTTTGGAAGGACTCCCAATTGGCCTTATTGTATGCTGGTGTTGGTGGTGTAGGAATACAAATTGGGTTTGTCGAGATATGTAGGATGATGGGAATGTGGTCAGACCCAGTGTTGTGGCCAGGAACTATGTAGTGTTGGAGGAGAGTGCTGGCTCTGTTTGCGAGTATTATGTCAGGTTTTCCTTGTCCTTGGTGTCCATAGAAGGTGTTGAAGTGTGGACCTAGGTGCCGTAGATGTTTGTGGTTTGAGAAGTTATGTAGTTGTGTGCCTGTTTGGTTGGTGGAGTTGTGGTTGAAAGCTGGGTGTTTAGCATTCATGTCTGCCAGCAGGTAGGAGGGAATGTTGGTGTGGTTGAAGACGAGAGATAGGTCGTGTGCACTGATGGCTGTGTTGGGTCTAGCGTAAGTGGTGAAGAATATGAGGGGTCCTAGTTGAGTGTATAGTCTGACAGCTAGGGAGTGTTGATGTGTGAAATGGAGTGGTAGGAATTCATGTCTAATGGTCAATTGATAATACAATCACGTCACTAGTCAAATCCAGTCCAAGAACCTGTTATCCTATCCATGGATGACATAGGATTCTCTTGACTCACGAAACCGTAATAACACGATTGCAAACTTACTTGTCGTGAGTTCGATCCCTACCCGTACCGTGGTTTGATAGAACTCTCTCACCTGTACCTTCACAGGGCAGTCTGTGTTTGTTGGTGTAGATGTATTTCTGGGTATCTTTGAGTTCACTGGATGGACCTTCCACGAAAGCAGTACTCATTAACATATAAATGCGCATTCAACAGCATTGTTAACCAGTATTTACCGTTGTGGGCTTCTGTACGTTATTAACTCCCGCTAGAAACACCTCGAGATACGCATATGAATCACTGTTTACACCCTGGTTTGGGTGTAAACAGTGATTTGTCGATACGAGTACATATGCGTTCCTCCACGTTTGTAATGTGATTAGTGAAGGTTAGTGGCCTCCATTGTTCAAGCCTAGTGAAGGGCAAGTCCCCCTCTCTTATAAGGGAGTTTTGTTCCCATCAGTGCACAGGTTTATTAGTTCCCCTCCCCATACAGGTTTAATGTGACACGTGGGTGTCGTTATATGACTGATCAGCGTGGGCACTTATCCCCAGGCTGATGGGTGGCACAAGCAGCTCCTCACTGTTGCAGATGTATGGGTTGAGCTGAAGGTAATAATATATTATATGTTACTCTACATCTAACTCGAACTTAAGAACTTATAAGGGAGACTGAGTAGGAGTCTGTTAAAAGACTACAGTTAAATTATTCACACGATTAAGGTTTAACTGGAGTCTACTTGGAGGGTGTTCCGGGAGTCAACGCCCCCACGACCCGGTCCCTGACCAGGACTCCCGGTAAATCAAGGAGGAAGTGTAAGTTTGGTAGACAAGTAGATAAGGTTTGTCAGGAAACAGGACAAATGCTTCTTGACTCTTGTCTTAGTCATATGATGACCCAGAGATGGAGCCTTTAGTCATCTGACCGAGGCCTTCCACTGGCTTACTTCTCTACCCCTTTCAAAATTATGGTTATGATTATAGCCAATTCTTTAGTAGCAATGTCTGGCAGATTTGCAGGAGTATATCTTGTTACAGACCTCTCCAGCTCACTACCCACTCTCATAGCGTCCTCACGCCCCCACTCCCTTCTGCCCCCTCTCAGGGCTTTGGGATAATGGGGGGGGGGAATTCAAAATTCCCTAGAGGCATCGTTTACACTTGTGGGGATACATCATCTTGTATTTGAAAAGGAAAAAAGAAAATATATGGAGATGTAGCAGTCAGGTGGTAGACAGGTAATTAGGTGCGTAGTTGTGAAAACTAGAGATGGGTAACGAGGAGGACTTAAACGTCGTTCTACGGGTTACATAACAAGCTGTCACTGGGCAACGTTTCGCTCAGTGTAGATCTTTAATATATGAACTGGTGAACTTTCTGCACAGACGAGAAGCAGCGCAGAGTATACGCTTAAGAACATAAGAAAGGAGGAGCACCGCAGCAGGACTACTGGCCCATACTAGGCACGTTCAACTCAAACCCAAACTCACTAACAAAAATATTTGCCCAACCCATTACCAATGCTACCCCAGGAATAAACTTTAATAACCCTCTTAACGCTTGTGCAAGACTCACTTATCGTTTCGCCTACACGACGGAGTTCTGACAGAGTTCTTCAGTCGAGTACAGAGAGTCAACGGAAGCACATGTGTCTTATCAACCTGCCAGAATTGTATACCATTATTATATTCAAGTCCCACTTACAACAGCAACCTGTGTGTTTCGTACGTGAGCAGAATATGAGAGCAAGTTTCTGACCTGCGGGGACTCCGTTACAAAGTCCTGCCCACTCAGCAGTCACCAGCGCCCAGTCACCATCATGTGTTTTGATCACCATTCCTCTCTCACCTCGCCGAGGATTCAACGATATCGTCCGGAAATTGTGTCCTCCCTGAAAAAAACGAAGATATAGGAAAGTATTAGTTGGAAATAGAGTAAGACACATGTACAAACAGTTCAGTAGCTTTATTGTTGAAACGTTTCGCCTACACAGTAGGCTTCTTCAGTCAAATACGGAGGCAACAGTATGCATCTGTATTATTATGCTTCAGCTTCATATCGTTCCAGACCCTGGAGCTGAGCTCTACTCCAGGCTGAGGGACTGACCACCTCAAATACTATTTCTCCAAGGTTGATGGACTGATTACATCATCAGTAATTCACTACTTTACCTGCTGCCTCTATATTTGACTGAAGAAGTCTACTATGTAGACGAAACGTTTATCAATAAAAATACCCAACTGTTGCACATGTGTCTTAATCATCAACTTGTCGGTATTTTATACCATTTTCAAAATAACAGGAAACAGAGTAGTGGATGAGTGGAACAGTTTACCAAGTGGAAGACTTGAGAATAACGATGTTAGCTGATCTTTCTTGTAATAAAGTTGGTAGAATTACCGACAATATGTAAAGTAAAAGGACACAAGTGCAACTAATGTGACATTTTATTGTGGCAACGTTTCGCTCTCCGGGAGCTTTATCAAGCCATTACAAACAATAATGGACACAGAGGGTATATAAAGGCTCAGAGTGAGGTGCAATACTAGTGAGGTACCATTTCGATGTTCACTAGTGGTAGTAGTAATAGTAGTAGTAGTGACAAAAGTAATACAATATGGTATAGCAATTAATTCGTACATGAGTAAAAGGATATAAAAGCTATTACTTGGGTAACATAAAAATAGGTTGGACAAATATAGACTGGAAAGAGGCAGCTTTTTTTCAGTGTTCACTCTCTGTAATGTGCTTTGTATAGTATAAAAAGGAGAGACTATGTGTTTGGCGGGGTTTTTACTGTTTTCAGGAGGATTCTTGCTAAGACTTCGGAGATGGTGAAAGCTGCCGTTTGTTTTGTTTAATTGTATTCGAAACAGCGATCAGTGCTGATTCGAGGCACTTGCGTCTGCGGAAATTAGTTTCTTTGATCACTAATTGGGCGTCTCTGAATTTCATGAGATGATTGGTGGAATTTCGGTGTTGTACACAGGCGTTGTTTAAGTTATCGTTCCTACATGCGTAAATGTGTTCATTGAGGCGGGTGTCGAGGTTTCTTGCTGTTTCACCTACGTAAATCTTGTCACAGCCTCCACAGGGTATAGTGTAAACTCCTGCATTGACTGGTTCATGGTGCTTTGATTTTGTCCTGGTTAGATCCTTTATTGAAGTGCAGGAAGCGATGGCGACTCTGGTGTTAGCTTGTGAAAGTACTTTTGAGACGTTCAGTGCAACCTGGCTGTTGGGAAGAATTATAACTTTGTTGGGAGTGGTGTTGATGCGTGGAGAATTAATGATCTGAAGAGCTCTTTTCTTGCAGTCTTTGATGAAAAAAGAAGGAAAATGTAACTCGCCAACGACCCCAACATTATCGTCACCACCGCCGACAAAGGAGGTGGAGTCGTCATACTCAACACCAGTGACTACAACACTAAAATGATGGACCTTGTGAATGATCAATCTACATACGAACCCATCAGCACTCAACAGTGGGAGACGCTCACCAAAGATTTTCTATACAAAACCAGACAAATACTCAAACGCACTAGAGAAGGGAAGAAACTTCTATACTTGTTACCAAGCAACCCTAAACCAGCACACATGTATGGTTTACCCAAGACCCATAAACACAATATTCCACTCAGACCAATCACGTCAGGAATAGGCAGTGCTCCACACAAACTAGCCGGAGTTCTTGCCAAACATCTTTCCTGCCTTCTGGGGACCATCAACCCCGCTCATCTTAAACACTCAGGCGACCTTCTCAACCGCATCCGTAACCTCTCCATCCGTAACAAGAAATAATCAGTTTGGATGTGACTCCCTCTTCACAAAAGTACCTACCAAAAAAACCATCGAGGGTTTTACGACTTAAAGTCAATCAGAACCTTAATCTTCCTCTACCCCCCGGAGATTTTGTTGACTTGATTGAACTCTGTGTTAATTTCAACTGTTTTTCTTTCAACAACAAGCTCTACAAACAAACCTACGGCATGGGGAATGGGGTCCCCCATCAGTGCCGTCCTAAACCAACTTATACATGAACACCTAGAGTCCGATCACTTCGCCACATCATCCCTTCAAGCGTCACTTGGTTACGTTACGTGGACGACGTCCTCGAATAACTCCCAAACGTTTTGATGTACGGGATCTTCAGGCAAGGCTCAACGCAGTTGAACCGGCGATCCAGTTTACACTAGAAGAAGAGTTCCAATGACAAGCTACCTTTCCCCGACGTCCTCATTCACAAAGTAGACAACAACCTAAGATTTCAAGTTTATCGGAAGCCCACCAATAAAAATGATCTCACACACTTCTATTCCAGTCAAGATACCAAGACAAAAGAGCATCCCTCACGGTTTTTCCTAAGAGCATACCGAATTTGTACTCCTGAGTTTTTTGACGAGAATGTACATACCCTTTACCAAAAATTCACTGAGTTACATTTTCCTTCTTTTTTCATCAAAGACTGCAAGAAAAGAGCTCTTCGGATCATTAATTCTCCACGCATCAACACCACTCCCAACAAAAGTTTAATTCTTTTTCCCAAAAGCCAGGTTGCACTGAACGTCTCAAAAGTACTTCACAAGCTAACACCAGAGTCGCCATCGCTTCAGCACTTCAATAAAGGATCTAACCAGGACAAAATCAAAGCACCATGAACTCAGTCAATGCAAGGGTTACACTATAACCCTTGGAGGAGGGGTGACAAGATTTTCGTAGGTGAAACAGCAAGAAACCTCGACACCTGCCTCAATGAACACATTACGCAAAGTATGAGGGAAAGATAACTTGAACAACCAGCCTGTGTACAACACCGAAATTCCACCAATCATCTCATGAAATTCAGAGACGCCCATTATGATCAAAGAAACTAATTTCCGCAACCAAGTGCCTCGAATCAGCACGATCGCTGTTTCGAATACAATTAAACAAAACAACGGCAGCTTCACCATCCCGAAGTCTTAGCAAGAATCCTCCTGAAAAAAAGTAAACCCTGCCCTCACATAGTCTCTCTGTTCCTAAACCCTATACAAAAGCACATTACTGAGAGTGAACACTGAACAAGCCTGCCTCTTTCCAGTCTATATTTGTCCAGCCTATTTTTATGTTACCCAAGTAATAGCTTTTATATCCTTTTACTCATGTACGAATTAATTGCTATACCATATTGTATTACTTTTGTCACTACTACTACTATTACTACTACCACTAGTGAACATCGAAATGGTACCTCACTAGTATTGCACCTAACTCTGAGCCTTTATATACCCTCTGTGTCCATTATTGTTTGTGATGAATGGTTTGAAAAACCGACAAGTCGAAGAGTGAGACACTTATGCAGCATATGGGAATCTTTATTCAGGAAACGTTTCGCCACACAGTGGCTTCATCAGTCCAATACAAAGAGGAAGGCGTAAGGAGAGGAGGAGTATGAGGTAATCAGTCCCTCAACCTGGAGTCGATGTGTTCAGTCCATCAATCTTGTAGAATGTACAGCATAGGGCCGTAGACGTGGGTTATAATAACTGTAGTTGGGGGGGAGGTGAAGCGGGCGGAGCGGGTCATAGTGGTACCACCCATAGCGAAGTGGGTCTTCGCCGGGGTTGAAAAATGTTAAAGAATTCTTTCAGACACTGCAGCTCAGGGGATTTTTTTTTAAAAAGAATTCTTCAACACTTGTTCAACCTTTGGACGAACCTACTTCGCGGGGAGGTACCACAGACCCCGCCTGCCTGTTCACCCACCTCACAACAGTAATAAGCCACGTCTACGGCCCTAGCTGTACTTTCTAAAAGATTGAGGGACTGAACACATCATCAGGTTTAGGGATGATTTTCCTATACTCCTCCTCTCCCTTTCGCCTTCCTCTTTGTAGGGGCGATGAAGCCACTGGTGGCGAAACGTTTTCCCGAATAAAGATTCCCCCTACGCATAAGTGTCCAATCTTCATCATGTATTGTTTGTAAGGCTTTCCCGGGGAGCGAAACGTTTCCCCAATAAAAAGTCACATTGTTTCACTTGTGTCCTTTTACTTTATGATCTTTTTACAAAGAACATACTAAACAAAAATAACGACACCAGGGGAAAAACGGGGTGGGGGTTGAACCTTTAAAAAAAGGGGAAAAGATACCCCATTTTTAAAACGCTAAAGCAATATTCCAAATGAGGGATCGTTTGGAATATTGCTCTGTGTTGACAGCCCCGTTCATGGCAGGAGAAATATCTGAGCTGGAACACATACAAAGGTTGTTTACGGCTCACAGTGAACCAGTAAAGCACTTAAATTACTGGAACACCTTAAAGTACTCACTGGATCGGAGATGAGAGAGTTATATGATAATATATACCTGGAAAGTACTCGAAGCCCTGGTCCCAAATCTGCATCCTGCCATAATAACATACTGGAGTGAGAGATATGGGAAGGAGTGCAAAATAAACCCCGTGAAAAGCAGGGGTGTGGTGGGCACAGTAAGGGAACACTGTATCAATATTCGTGACCCCAGATTATTCAGCATCTTACCAGAAGATATCAGAAACACTTCTGGAACAAGTGTAGAAGCCTTCAAGAGGAAACTGGACAAGTACCTACACCAGGTGCCAGATCAACCAAGCTGTGATGGGTATGTTGGGCCTCCAGCAGCAACAACCTAATTGACCACGCTAGCACCAGACAAGCCTGACCCATGGTCGGGCTCTGGGAGAAGACAGATTCTTGAAACTCATCAAAGGTATATCAAAGTAGGGTTTTGAAGCTAAAACTTCATTATTATTATTATTATTATTATTATTATTATTATTATTATTATTATTATTATTATTATTATTATTATTGTTATTGTTATTATTATTATTATTATTATTATTATTATTATTATTATTATTATTATTATTATTATTATTAAAGATACACCGGTATTCTCCCGGCCCGGGCCTTTACCAAGTGGTGGCCCGGGCCTTTACCAAGTGGTGGCCCGGGCCTTTACCAAGTGGTGGCCCGGGCCTTTACCAAGTGGCGGCCCGGGCCTTTACCAAGTGGTGGCCCGGGCCTTTACCAAGTGGTGGCCCGGGCCTTTACCAAGTGGTGGCCCGGGCCTTTACCAAGTGGTGGCTCGGGCCTTTACCAAGTGGTGGCCCGGGCCTTTACCAAGTGGCGGCCCGGGCCTTTACCAAGTGGGGGCCCCGGGCCTTACCAAAAGTGGGGGCCCGGCCTTTTACCAAGGGGTGGCCGGGCCTTTACCAAGTGGGGGCCCCGGGGCCTTTACCAAGGGCGGCCGGGCCTTTTTTAAAAGGGTGGCCCGGGCCTTACCAAGGGGTGCCCGGGGCCCCTTTACCAAGTGGGGCCCGGGCCTTTCCAAAGGGGGCGGCCCGGGCCCCTTTACCAATGGCGGCCCGCCTTTACCAAGTGGTGGCCCCGGGCCTTTACCAAGTGGCGGCCCCGGGGCCTTTACCAAGTGGCGGCCCGGGGCCTTTACCAAGTGGCGGCCCGGGCCCTTTCCCAAGTAGGGCCCGGGCTTTACCAAGTGGGGGCCCCGGCCCTTTACCAAGGGGGCCCGGGGCCTTTCCCAGTGGGGGCCGGGCCTTTACCGGGGGTGGCCCGGGCCTTTCCCCAAGTGTGGCCCGGGCCTTTAAAAGTGGGGGCCCCGGGGCCTTTACCAAGTGGGGGCCCCGGGGCCTTTACCAATGGGGGCCCCGGGGCCTTTCCCAAGGGGCGGCCCGGCCTTACCAAGTGGGGGCCCCGGTTTTTTACCAAGTGGGGCCCCGGGGCCTTTACCAATGGTGGCCCGGGCCTTTTCCAATGGGGGCCCGGTTTGGCTCCCTCTGACGGAGTGCGAGACCTAAGCCCCCATGGGGAGGCACAAGTCCCTCCCATCTTCGGACCAACCCCCCGGGCCCACCCAAAAGCTAGCCCTTGGTCTCCTCCCCGCCAAAGGGGATAATGGGAATGAGAGTCTTGTGAGCGCAAGCTCTGGCTAGCACCTACCCTGCCCAAAGGGGCGGGGGCATGTGTCGATGCTAAAACTTTGGCTAGCTCAAATATAGTTAATAAATAATAAATACAAGGTGTTCCTGATTTTTTTTCTTATGGAAAAAATAGGAACACTGTAGCAGACCTACGGCCCATACAGGCAGGCCTTCTAAAACCCAAAACCTTTAAACAAAAATTTTGCCAAACCCTTTTAATGCCACACAGGGAAAAAGCTTAGGCAACCCTTTAATTTATAGCAACCCCCACTTAAATCCATCCCACTTTTTTTTCACAGGCTCGGGTGGGCCCGCAGACACAGGATAACTTCCCAAAGCACTTAAGTTTGCCCAAGCTCGAAACTCTGTTGAAAAGCAAATATTTCAAATGCCCTTCCAAATCTAAAAAAATATAACAAAAAAATCACCTCGTTAGTATAGGCCAAATCCTGAGGGGTCGGGGTGGTGGTGTTGCAATAGTGGAGGACAGAACCAGGGGGCCCCATTTGGGCTTTCAGCACAGGGGGACAGCAATGCCCAGTGTTCTGGAGTGATACATTCCACCTCCATACTTGTGGTGGTGCCCTTTTTTTTCACTACCCCCCAGGGAAAAACTCACATTTTTTTACACAACCCCACATAGAAAAGAGAACCTTGCCACCATTCGGGCCTTTTTGGGCCTTTTTACAAAGTCACACAACCGGGAAAAAATAAGGGGGGCGTTATAAATTTTGTAGTAGTATAGTAGTAGAGAGTAGTATAAGTTAGTAAGGGTTTAGTGTAGTAGGAGTTAGTATTTGTATATAGTAATAGTAGTAGTAGTGATATATAGTAAGGGGAGTAGTATAGTAAAATATGTATATAGTAGTAGTGTTAGTTTGAAGTATAGTGTAGTATTTTGTTTTAGTAGTAGTAGTAGTAGTTGTAGGGGAGTAGTAGTAGTAGTAGTAGTGTTGTAGGGTAGTAGATAGTAGTTTTAGTAGTGTAGTGGGAGTAAGAGTATAGATAGTAGTGTATAGTGGTAGTAGTGGGATAGTAGTAGTAAATAGTAGTAGTGTATAGTAGTATAGGGGGTATAGTAGTAGTAGTAGTAGTAGTAGTGGTAGTATTAGTAGTAAGTAGTAGTAGTATAGTGTGTAGTAGTGGTATTATTTGTAGTAGTATTTTGTAGGGGGTAAGTGAGTAGTGGTAAGTGTAGTAGTAGAGTAGTTATAGTAGTAGTAGTGGTATAGTAGTAGTTAATAGTGTGTTTAAGTATGGTATATAGTAGTTTAGTATAGTAGAAGGGGGTAGTAGTGGGTTTTAGTTTGTAGTAGGGTAGTATATGTATAGTAGTATTTGTAGAGTAAGTAGTAGTAGTGTATAGTAGTATAGTGGGAAGTAGTAGTAAGAAGGGAGGGGTAGTAGTAGTAAGTAGAGTTAGAGTAGTAATAGTAGTGTAGTAGTAGTAATATGTAGTGTAGTAAGTATATAGTAGTTTTTAGTAGTAGTATAGAGGGGAGTAGAGTGTAGTGTAAGTAGGAGTAGTTAGTAGTAGTGGTAAGTAGTAGTAGTAGTAGAGTTTGTATAGTAGTATAGAGTATTTGTGTTTTTATAGTAGGGTAAATAGTAGTGTAGTTGAGTAGTGTAGTTTGTGTATATTTGTAGTAGTAGTATAGTAGTAGTATAGTTAGTAGTATTGTATAGTATAGTGGTAGTATTTGGGAGTAGTAGAATATAAAGTAGTAGTAGTATAATTTTTAGTAGTAGTATATAGTTTGTGAATAGTAGTAGTAGTATAGTAGTAGTAGTAGAGTTAGTGTAATTTTGAGTAGTATATAGTAGTAGTAGTAAGTAGTATAGTAGAGTAGTATACTAGTTAGTAGTCTATAGTAGTAGTAAAGAAATGTAGTGTAGTATAGTACTAGTAGTTTGTAGTATAATTTTTGTAGTGTAGTGAATAGTAGTAGTATAGAGTGTATATAGTAGTAGTGTATAGTAAGAAGTATATATATATAGTAGTATAGTAATAGTAGTGTAGTAGTAGTAGTATAGTATAGTAGTATAGTAGAGTAGAGTAGTACTAGTAGTAGTAGTATATAGTAGTAGTATAGTAGTATTAGTAGTAGTAGAATAGTAGTAGTAGTAATAGTAGTATGTATAGTAGTAGTATATATAGTAGTATAATAGTAGAAATAATTAAGTATAGAAATATATAGTTAGTAAATATAGTAGTAGAGTAGTAGTATGTAGTAGATATTAGTAGTAATATAGTAGTAGTAGTATATAAGTATTTAGTAAAAAGTAGTAGTTAGTATAGAATTTATTTTAAATAGTATAGATAGTATATTGTAGTAGTATAGTAGTAGTGTAGTAAATTAGATTTTGATATGTTTTTTAGTATTTTGTATAGTAGTAGTATAGTATAGAGTAGATAGTAGTATTTTGTAGGGGAGTATAGGTAGTAAGTAGTAGAGTAGTTGTATAAGTAGAGAGAAAAAAAAACTAGGGAAAAATTTATTAAGAAAATTTGGTATGAATGGGGGTATTTTGATTAAAGGGTTTAAAAAAGTATATTTAATTTTATTAAATAATATATAATTATATAATATATATATATTATAATATATTTAGTTAAGAGGGGGGGGGGAGTGTATATTGGTGAAGAGTGTAATTTATGTAATATATTTGGGTTAGATAAAATAGGGGAGAAAGGCAAAATTTTTAAACAAATTTTTTAAGAAACGTTTTTGGGGGATTTAAACCGGTTTTTCCTTTGAATTAAAAAGTTTAAAAGAAAGGGGGAAAAATTTAAAATTAAATTTTATATATTAATTTAAAATTAAAATAAAAAAAATTTTAGTAAATTTTTTACGGTTTGTGGCCCATTAAAGGGACAAAATAAGGGGTGGGAAGAAGGAGGTTGGGGGAAACGGTTTGGGGGTACAAATGTGGGGAAGTACAATTTTAAACAATGGGTTTTAAATTTCCGAGGGGGTTTAAGTTTCAGGATATTTGGGGGAAGTACAATTTAAGGGGGGTGGGAAAAGAAACGTGGGGGGAACAAATGGGGGGTTAAAGAGCAAATTTGGGTGGATTGTGGGGGAAATTTTTGGGGGTCCGGGTTTTGGGGGAGTACAGATGGGGTGTGGGAGAGTACGATGGGTGTGGAAGACAGGGGGTGTGGGGGAAAAACAGGAGGTTTAGGAAAAAAGTGGGTTTTAATACAGGAAAGGTTTGGGTCAAAATGGTTGGGGGTGGGTGGGGGTGTGTGGGGGGGGGGGTAAAACAGGATGGTGTGGGGGAGTACAGATGGGTGGGAGAGTACAAGATGGGTGTGGGAGGTACAAGATGGGTGTGGGAGAAATACAAATGGGTGTGAGAGGACAAGAGGGGGTGGGAGGGACGGGGGGTGGGAGAAAAACAAGATGGGTTGGGAGAGTCAGGAAGGGTGGAGAAATACAAGATGGTGTGGGAGAGTACAAAAAGGGTGTGGAGAGTCGGTGGTTTTTTAATACAAGTGGGGGGGGGAGATTTCAAATGGGGGGGGAGAGTAAAGATGGGGAGGGGAGACAAGTGTTTTTGGGAGGTACAAGAGGGTGTGGGAATACAAAAAAGGGTGTGAGAGTACAAATGGGGGGTGGGAGAGAAAGATGGTTTTGGAGAACAAATGGGGGGTGGGGGTACAAAAATGGGTGGGAGAGTACAAAGTGGAAGGTCGTTGGGTTTTGGAGAGTAAAAAAGAGGGGTGAGAGAGTACAAGAGGGTGTGGGGGAGACAAAAAGGGGGTAGAGAGTACAAAATGGGTGGAGGTTTAGAGGGGGAGGTACAAGGGTGGGAGAACAAATGGGTGTGGGGGGAGTCAAGATGGGTGGGAGATACAAATGGTGTGGGGGGAGCAAAATTTGGGGGGGGGGAATTACAAGATGGGGGTGGGGGAGTACAAATGGGTGTGGAGAGTACAAGATGGTGTGGGGGGGAGGACAAATGGGTGTGGGATACGGTGGGGGGAGAGTACAAATGGGTGTGGGGGAAAGATAAAAAGATGGGTGTGGAGAGTGAGGTTTTGGGGTACAAATGGTTTTGGGGGGAAATACAAGATGGGTGTGAAGAGTACAAGATGGGGTGGTGGGGGGACAAGTGGGGGGAGAGATAAAAAAAATGGGGGTGGAAAAGACAAGATGGGGGTGTGAGAAATCAAGATGGGTTGGGAGAGAAAGATGGGTGGGAGGTACAAGATGGGTGTGGGGGGAGTACGGGGTTGGGAGAGTACAAGATGGGTGTGGGGAAAGGGGTGGGGGAGGTACAAAAATGTGTAGGTACGGGGGTGTGGGAAGGGCTGGGGGGGGATACAAGGGGGTGTGGGAGATACAAAAGGGGGGGAGACAAGATGGGTGTGGGGGAGTAAAAAATGGGGGTTTTTGGGGGGGGGGGGGGGAAGTGGAGGGGGGGGAAGACAATGGGGGGGGGGAGAGTGATGGGTGTGGGGAGTACAAAAAGGGGGTAGAGAGTACAAGATGGGGTGGAAGAAAAGGGTTGAGAGTAAAAATGGGGGTTGGGGAAGTCAAGAGGGGGGGGAGATTTAAAAATGGGGGGTTTTAATACAAGATGGGTGTGGGGGGAGTACAAATGGGGTGGGAGGTACAAAAGGGTTTAAGTACAAAATGGGTGTAGTAAAAATTGGGTTGGGAGATACAAGATGGGTGGGGGTCAAGATTTTGGGAAGGGAAAAAAAAGGGTGGGAAGACAAGATGGGGGTGGGGGGAGACAAATGGGGGATGAAAGTACAAAATGGTGTGGGAGAGTACAAGATGGGTGTGGGGAGTACAGATGGTTGGGGGATACAGATGGTGGGGGAGTACAAGGGGGTTTTGGGGGGAGTAAAAAGGTGTATGAGAGTACAAGAGGGTGTGGAGAACAAAGTTTAAGGAAAAATGGTTAAATACAAGGGGTTTAATACAAAATGGGGTTTGGATACAAAAAGGGGGGGAGAAAAGATGGGTTAAAAACCAAGGGGTTTACAAATTTTAAGTAAAAATTTTTTAGAACAAATTTAATACAAATTTAATACAAAGGGGGGATAAGACAAAATTTAATACAGATGGGGTATAATCAATGGGTTAATCAAAATGGGGTGGAGGACAATGGGTTATAATCAAATGGGGGTTTAAGTACAAATTTAATTTGATTGTATTTAATCAAAATTGGGGGAAAATACAGTTTAAGTAAGAGTTAAGTAATTTTTAAAGGGCAAAATAATTTACAAAATTATAAAACAATTGTTAAGAAGATCCAAAAAGTAAAAAGATTTTTCCCAAGGGGGTTTTCCTTTTTTAAAATAAAGTTTAAAAATTTTTTTTTTTTAAAGAGATAAAAAAATTTTATGGGGTTTTTAAAAAGGGGAATACAAAAAGGGGGATTTAAAAAAAAATACTGGGTTAAAAACAAAGGGGATAAATTCAGTTTGTGGGGGGACTTAATATTGTTAACAGTTTCTAAATTTTTCCCGATGTTAGGAAACCGTTCCCAAAAATTTACGTATTTTTCAGGGTTTTTAATTTTTAATTGGTTAAAATATTTTCAACCCTTGGGAAGAAAAATTTTTTAAAAAAACCCCTGGTTTAAACCATTCCAATGGTTTTAAAGTTAACCCTCGTTTTTTTTTAAATTTCCCTTCTTTTTGTTTACATCCCCCATTTTTAAATTCCTTGTTTTTTTATTGAAAATTTTTAATGTTGGCAAATTGGAAAAATACCGAGTGGGGTTAAATTTTAGGATAACCCAATACCTTTTTGTACGCTGAACACCCAATTTAAAGTTTTTTGGTTGTTTTACCCCAAATTTTCCAATTTTGAGGTTTGCGGGGGAAGTCCGGGGTTTTTTAAACCCCCCCCTTTTTTATGGTTTTCCAAAGGACTCTTTTGGGGGGGTTTTTTTCCCTCCCTTTGCTTTGCCCTTGGGGGGGTTTTTATCCACCTTTCCCTTTTCCATCCTTCCCCCTTTTTAAACCCACTGGTTTCTGAGGGAAAACTTCCAACATTTATCCGGTCTTTCTCCAAAAAATTTTCCCTTTTACTGATCCCAATTCCGAAACCCCGGTTAAATTGCCCCCTTGGGCCCAATTCCCCTCCCCAGTAATGGTTTCTTCCCCTATCTTCCGTCCCCCGTTCGCGGTTTGTTTCCCCTTAACCCTCCTTAGGACAACCTTTAGTCTACATCTTGTTGCCCTTTTGCACTTCTAGTTTTTTTTGGTTGGCAGGGGGTTTCCAAACCCCGGTGCCGCATACCTCCAAAAGGGCCAACTATCTTAATCCTAAGATTTTATTAAAATTGAACTGTTCTGAGTTTTAGGGCCCCTTCTGCCTTTTTTTGATTGGCTTAAAAATTGGCCTTTGTTTTCACCCCAAGATCTTTTTCCTTGAGTGAGGTTTGTAGTCTCTGACCCCCTAGACTGTACTCCGTTTGCGGCCTTCTTTGCCTTCCCCAATCTTCATGACTTTGCACTTGGTGGGATTGAACTCCAGGAGCCAATTGCTGGACCAGTTCTGCAGCCTGTCCAGATCCCTTTGTAGTTCTGCCTGGTCTTCGATCGAGTGTATTCTTCTCATCAACTTCACGTCATCTGCAAACAGGGACACCTCAGAGTCTATTCTTCCGTCATGTCGTTCACAAATACCAGAAACAGCACTGGTCCTAGGACTGACCCCTGCGGGACCCCCGCTGGTCACAGGTGCCCACTCTGACACCTCGCCACGTACCATGACTCGCTGCTGTCTTCCTGACAAGTATTCCCTGATCCATTGTAGTGCCTTCCCTGTTATCCCTGCTTGGTCCTCCATTTTTGCACCAATCTCTTGTGTGGAACTGTGTCAAACGCCTTCTTGCAGTCCAAGAAAATGCAATCCACCCACCCCTCTCTCTCTTGTCTTACTGCTGTCACCATGTCATAGAACTCCAGTAGGTTTGTGACACAGGATTTCCCGTCCCTGAAACCATGCTGGCTGCTGTTGATGAGATCATTCCTTTCTAGGGTTTCACCACTCTTCTCCTGATAATCTTCTCCATGATTTTGCATACTATACATGTCAGTGACACTGGTCTGTAGTTTAATGCTTCATGTCTGTCTCCTTTTTTAAAGATTGGGACTACATTTGCTGTCTTCCATGCCTCAGGCAATCTCCCTGTTTCGATAGATGTATGAATATTGTTGTTAGGGGTACACATAGCGCCTCTGCTCCCTCTCTCAATACCCAGGGGGGAGATGTTATCTGGCCCCATTGCCTTTGAGGTATCTAGCTCACTCAGAAGCCTCTTCACTTCTTCCTCGGTTGGTGTGCACTGTGTCCGCACTTGGTGGTGTGCCCCACCTCTCCGTCTTTCTGGAGCCCCTCTTCTGTCTCCTCTGTGAACACTTCTTTGAATCTCTTGTTGAGTTCTTCACATACTTCCCGGTCATTTCCTGTTGTCTCTCCTCTTCTTTCCTTTTAGCCTGTTACCTGGTCCTTGACTGTTGTTTTCCTCCTGATGTGGCTGTACAACTGTTTCGGGTCAGATTTGGCTTTCGTGCTATGTCTTTTCATATTGTCTTTGGGCCTCCCTTCTTATCTGTGCATATTCATTTCTGGCTCTATCGATGTTTCCTTATTCTCCTGGGTCCTTTGCCTTCTATATTTCTTCCATTCCTAGCACACTTGGTTTTTGCCTCCCTGCACCTTTTGGGTAAAACCATGGGCTCATCCTGGCTTTTTTCATTACTTCCCGTTCCCTTGGGTACAAAACCTCTCCCCAGCCCCCTTGCATTTTATTGCTACATATTCCATCATCTCATTAACTGGTTTCCCTGCCAGTTCTCTGTCCCCCTGAACCCCGTTCAGGTAGTTCCTCATTCCTGTGTAGTCCCCTTTCTTGTAGTTTGGTTCATTCGTCCTGGCTTCCTGCTTCTCCTCCACTTGTAGCTCTCTGTGTATTCGAAGCTTACAACCACAGGTCCTGGCCCCAAGGGGTCTTTCATATGTGATGTCCTCGTATCTGCACTAAATGAAGGTGAATACTAAGTCCCGCCTTGCTGGTTCATCCCTCTCTCTCTCTTGTTTGTGTCCCTTACGTGTTGGTACATGAAGTTCTCCAGTACCACCTCCATCATCTTAGCCCTCCAAGTATCTTGGCCCCCATGTGGGTCCAAGTTCTCCCAATCTATTTTCCTTGTGGTTAAAGTCACCATGATAGGAGCTTTGCCCTGCAGCATGAGCTCTTCTGGCCCCTCTAGCTAGTGTGTCAACCATCGCTCTATTGCTCTCGTCGTACTCTTGCCTTTGGGCCTCTGCTGTTCTGTGGTGGGTTATACATCACTGCTGTGTGTGTGTGTGTGTGTGTGTGTGTGTGTGTGGTGTGTGGTGTGGTGTGTGTGTGTGTGTGTGTGTGTATGTGTGTGTGTGTGTGTGTGTGTGTGTGTGTGTGTGTGTGTGTGTGTGTGTGTGTGTGTGTGTGTGTGTGTGTGTGTTTAAGAACTGTGTGAAGCGCTAATCCCGCTAGAGTCACTCAACCCAAGAACCACCAACATACACGGTTTTAGCGCTTACCGTCCTCACTACAGCAACAATACCTGTGTGTAGCCATTTCCGCTTTGTACAGATCTTGTTCAGAGTCGGTGTCGTAGACGTGAGGAACGATACCGTAGAGGGAACGGACGGTAGCTGGATCGAAGCTAGCCGGCTGGAAGGGACCGGTTAAGACGGCCATGGTAGCGTAGTGATGGGCCGTCACCACTCTGATACCGAATGTTAGTTCCACCCTGATGTCCTTCTCGATAAATGTCTGTTGTGGTAAAGTACTTCCTGTTAGTGATCTGTAACACTGCTGTAAGTCTGTGTCAGTGATCTGTAACACTGTTGTAAGTCTGTGTCAGTGATCTGTAACACTGTTGTAAGTCTGTGTCAGTGATCTGTAACACTGTTGTAAGTCTGTGTCAGTGATCTGTAACACTGTTGTAAGTCTGTGTCAGTGATCTGTAACACTGTTGTAAGTCTGTGTCAGTGATCTGTAACAACTGTTGTAAGTCTGTGTCAGTGATCTGTAACACTGTTGTAAGTCTGTGTCAGTGATCTGTAACACTGTTGTAAGTCTGTGTCAGTGATCTGTAACACTGCTGTAAGTCTGTGTCAGTGATCTGTAACACTGTTGTAAGTCTGTGTCAGTGATCTGTAACACTTTTGTAAGTCTGTGTCAGTGATCTGTAACACTGTTGTAAGTCTGTGTCAGTGATCTGTAAACACTGTTGTAAGTCTGTGTCAGTGATCTGTAACACTGTTGTAAGTCTGTGTCAGTGATCTGTAACACTGTTGTAAGTCTGTGTCAGTGATCTGTAACACTGTTGTAAGTCTGTGTCAGTGATCTGTAACACTGTTGTAAGTCTGTGTCAGTGATCTGTAACACTGCTGTAAGTCTGTGTCAGTGATCTGTAATACTGTTGTAAGTCTGTGTCAGTGATCTGTAACACTGTTGTAAGTCTGTGTCAGTGATCTGTAACACTGTTGTAAGTCTGTGTCAGTGATCTGTAACACTGTTGTAAGTCTGTGTCAGTGATCTGTAACACTGTTGTAAGTCTGTGTCAGTGATCTGTAACACTGTTGTAAGTCTGTGTCAGTGATCTGTAACACTGTTGTAAGTCTGTGTCAGTGATCTGTAACACTGCTGTAAGTCTGTGTCAGTGATCTGTAACACTGTTGTAAGTCTGTGTCAGTGATCTGTAACAATGTTGTAAGTCTGTGTCAGTGATCTGTAACACTGTTGTAAGTCTGTGTCAGTGATCTGTAACACTGTTGTAAGTCTGTGTCAGTGATCTGTAACACTGTTGTATGTCTGTGTCAGTGATCTGTAACACTGTTGTAAGTCTGTGTCAGTGATCTGTAACACTGCTGTAAGTCTGTGTCAGTGATCTGTAACACTGTTGTAAGTCTGTGTCAGTGATCTGTAACACTGTTGTCTGTTTTGAAGTCAGTGACTAATTTCTATATGTTGTGTGTGTTGCAGTTCTGATCAACAAATACATCATTTACAGGAGAAACTCTTCAGTACTGAAGATACACAGGTGTTGTACATGTCTTGTTCATCACCTGGTCATCATTGTGTACCAGTGCAACAATAAACACAAATGCTGTATAATACGATCCATTGGTCACAACATTTCGCAAACGAGTCACTTAATAAAGTCTACTGTGTGGGCGAAACGTAGTTAATAAAGGATCACATTATAATGTATGTGTCTTTTTTTTTACATCGTGTTGGTACTTGTAGAAATAAAGATTATTATTATTATTATTATTATTATTATTATTATTATTATTATTATTAAAATTACAATTATAATAATAATAATAATAATAATAATAATAATAATAATAATAATAATAATAATAATAATAATAATAATAATAATAATAATAATAATAATTATTATTATTATTATTATTATTATTATTATTATTATTATTAAAATTATTATTATTATTATTATTATTATTATTATTATTATTATTATTATTATTATTTTTATTATTATTATTATTATTATTATTGTGGAGGGGTACAAACTACAGGATCACCTTGATGATGGTAGCAGTGTCGTCTCTTAGTTTTAAGAGTTCGGCAAAGTCGAAGTGGCCGTTACACTCGAAGTTCTGAGAGCCGCTACTCAACATAGACTTGATTCCGTCTTTCTGACTCACCATCTCCAACACGAACTGGTCTCTGACCACCTGTGGAAGACCAATAGAGATATAGGTGTGACCAGGTGGTGTGACCAGGTGCTTCACCACCTGTGGCAGGGCGAGAGACAGGTGGTGACCAGGTCCTTCACCTGTGGCATGGCGAGAGACAGGTGGTGACCAGGTGCTTCACCACCTGTGGCAGGGCGAGAGACAGGTGGTGACCAGGTCCTTCACCTGTGGCATGGCGAGAGACAGGTGGTGACCAGGTGCTTCACCACCTGTGGCATGGCGGAGAGCAGGTGGTGACCAGGTGCTTCACCACCTGTGGCATGGCGAGAGACAGGTGGTGACCAGGTGCTTCACCACCTGTGGTAGGGCGAGAGACAGGTGGTGACCAGGTGCTTCACCACCTGTGGTAGGGCGAGCACAGTAAAAATCCGATCAAATGATAACATTATCTTACACAATGTCTAACAAAAAAGGTGTGTGTCACATACCCGCCACCCCGAAACTTTCCCATATCTAACACCCGCCACCCCGAAACTTTCCCATATCTAACACCCGCCACCCCGAAACTTTCCCATATCTAACACCCGCCACCCCGAAACTTTCCCATATCTAACACCCGCCACCCCGAAACTTAACCATATCTAACACCCGCCACCCCGAAACTTAACCATATCTAACACCGCGCCACCCGAAACTTAACCATATCTAACACCCGCCACCCCGAAACTTAACCATATCTAACACCCGCCACCCCGAAACTTAACCATATCTAACACCGCCACCCGAAACTTAACCATATCTGACACCTGACACCCCGAAACTTAAACCATATCTAACACCTGACACCCCGAAACTTTCCCATATCTAACACCTGACACCCCGAAACTTTCCCATATCTAACACCTGACACCCCGAAACTTAACCATATCTAACACCCGCCACCCGAAACTTAACCATATCTGACACTGACACCCCGAAACTTAACCATATCTAACACCTGACACCCCGAAACTTTCCCATATCTAACACCTGACACCCCGAAACTTTCCCATATCTAACACCTGACACCCGAAACTTAACCATATCTAACACCCGCCACCCGAAACTTAACCATATCTGACACCTGACACCCCGAAACTTAACCATATCTAACACCTGACACCCGAAACTTTCCCATATCTAACACCTGACACCCGAAACTTAACCATATCTAACACCCGCCACCCGAAACTTAACCATATCTGACACCTGACACCCGAAACTTAACCATATCTAACACCTGACACCCGAAACTTAACCATATCTGACACCTGACACCCGAAACTTAACCATATCTGACACCTGACACCCCGAAACTTAACCATATCTAACACCTGACACCCCGAAACTTAACCATATCTAACACCTGACACCCCGAAACTTAACCATATCTGACACCTGACACCCCGAAACTTAACCATATCTGACACCTGACACCCCGAAACTTTCCCATATCTGACACCTGACACCCCGAAACTTAACCATATCTGACACCTGACACCCCGAAACTTTCCCATATCTGACACCTGACACCCCGAAACTTTCCCATATCTAACACCTGACACCCCGAAACTTTCCCATATCTAACACCTGACACCCCGAAACTTAACCATATCTAACACCCGCCACCCCGAAACTTAACCATATCTGACACCTGACACCCCGAAACTTAACCATATCTAACACCTGACACCCCGAAACTTAACCATATCTGACACCTGACACCCCGAAACTTAACCATATCTGACACCTGACACCCCGAAACTTAACCATATCTAACACCTGACACCCCGAAACTTAACCATATCTAACACCTGACACCCGAAACTTAACCATATCTGACACCTGACACCCCGAAACTTAACCATATCTGACACCTGACACCCCGAAACTTTCCCATATCTGACACCTGACACCCCGAAACTTAACCATATCTGACACCTGACACCCCGAAACTTTCCCATATCTAACACCTGACACCCTGAAACTTTCCCATATCTAGCACCTGACACCCTGAAACTTTCCCATATCTAACACCTGACACCCTGAAACTTTCCCATATCTGACACCTGACACCCCGAAACTTTCCCATATCTGACACCTGACACCCCGAAACTTTCCCATATCTAACACCTGACACCCGAAACTTTCCCATATCTAACACCTGACACCCCGAAACTTTCCCATATCTAACACCTGACACCCCGAAACTTTCCCATATCTAACACCTGACACCCCGAAACTTTCCCATATCTAACACCTGACACCCGAAACTTTCCCATATCTAACCTGACACCCGAAACTTTCCCATATCTGACACCTGACACCCGAAACTTTCCCATATCTAACACCTGACACCCTGAAACTTTCCCATATCTGACACCTGACACCCCGAAACTTTCCCATATCTGACACCTGACACCCCGAAACTTTCCCATATCTGACACCTGACACCCCGAAACTTTCCCATATCTGACACCTGACACCCCGAAACTTTCCCAAATCTAACACCTGACACCCCGAAACTTTCCCATATCTAACACCTGACACCCCGAAACTTTCCCATATCTAACACCTGACACCCCGAAACTTTCCCATATCTAACACCTGACACCCCGAAACTTTCCCATATCTGACACCTGACACCCCGAAACTTTCCCATATCTAACACCTGACACCCTGAAACTTTCCCATATCTAACACCTGACACCCCGAAACTTTCCCATATCTAACACCTGACACCCTGAAACTTTCCCATATCTAACACCTGACACCCCGAAACTTTCCCATATCTAACACCTGAACCCCGAAACTTTCCCATATCTAACACCTGACACCCTGAAACTTTCCCATATCTAACACCTGACACCCTGAAACTTTCCCATATCTAACACCTGACATCCTGAAACTTTCCCATATCTAACACCTGACACCCTGAAACTTTCCCATACCTAACACCTGACACCCTGAAACTTTCCCATATCTGACACCTGACACCCTGAAACTTTCCCATATCTAACACCTGACACCCTGAAACTTTCCCATATCTAACACCTGACACCCTGAAACTTTCCATATCTAACACCTGACATCCTGAAACTTTCCCATATCTAACACCTGACACCCTGAAACTTTCCCATATCTAACACCTGACACCCTGAAACTTTCCCATACCTAACACCTGACACCCTGAAACTTTCCCATATCTGACACCTGACACCCTGAAACTTTCCCATATCTAACACCTGACATCCTGAAACTTTCCCATATCTAACACCTGACACCCTGAAACTTTCCCATATCTAACACCTGACATCCTGAAACTTTCCCATATCTAACACCTGACACCCTGAAACTTTCCCATATCTAACACCTGACATCCTGAAACTTTCCCATATCTAACACCTGACACCCTGAAACTTTCCCATATCTAACACCTGACATCCTGAAACTTTCCCATATCTAACACCTGACACCCTGAAACTTTCCCATATCTAACACCTGACACCCTGAAACTTTCCCATATCTAACACCTGACATCCTGAAACTTTCCCATATCTAACACCTGACACCCTGAAACTTTCCCATATCTAACACCTGACACCCTGAAACTTTCCCATATCTAACACCTGACACCCTGAAACTTTCCCATATCTAACACCTGACATCCTGAAACTTTCCCATATCTAACACCTGACATCCTGAAACTTTCCCATATCTAACACCTGACACCCTGAAACTTTCCCATATCTAACACCTGACACCCTGAAACTTTCCCATATCTAACACCTGACACCCCGAAACTTTCCCATATCTAACACCTGACACCCCGAAACTTTCCCATATCTAACACCTGACACCCCGAAACTTTCCCATATCTAACACCTGACACCCTGAAACTTTCCCATGTCTAACACCTGACACCCTGAAACTTTCCCATATCTAACACCTGACACCCTGAAACTTTCCCATATCTAACACCTGACACCCTGAAACTTTCCCATATCTAACACCTGACACCCTGAAACTTTCCCATATCTAACACCTGACATCCTGAAACTTTCCCATATCTAACACCTGACACCCCGAAACTTTCCCATATCTAACACCTGACACCCCGAAACTTTCCCATATCTAACACCTGACACCCTGAAACTTTCCCATATCTAACACCTGACACCCCGAAACTTTTCCATATCTAACACCTGACACCCTGAAACTTTCCCATATCTAACACCTGACACCCTGAAACTTTCCCATATCTAACACCTGACACCCTGAAACTTTCCCATATCTAACACCTGACATCCTGAAACTTTCCCATATCTGACACCTGACACCCTGAAACTTTCCCATATCTAACACCTGACACCCTGAAACTTTCCCATATCTAACACCTGACATCCTGAAACTTTCCCATATCTAACACCTGACATCCTGAAACTTTCCCATATCTAACACCTGACATCCTGAAACTTTCCCATATCTAACACCTGACATCCTGAAACTTTCCCATATCTAACACCTGACACCCTGAAACTTTCCCATATCTAACACCTGACACCCTGAAACTTTCCCATATCTAACACCTGACACCCTGAAACTTTCCCATATCTGACACCTGACACCCTGAAACTTTCCCATATCTAACACCTGACACCCCGAAACTTTCCCATATCTAACACCTGACACCCGAAACTTTCCCATATCTAACACCTGACACCCGAAACTTTCCCATATCTAACACCTGACACCCTGAAACTTTCCCATATCTAACACCTGACACCCTGAAACTTTCCCATATCTAACACCTGACACCCTGAAACTTTCCCATATCTAACACCTGACACCCTGAAACTTTCCCATATCTAACACCTGACACCCTGAAACTTTCCCATATCTGACACCTGACACCTGAAACTTTCCCATATCTAACACCTGACACCCCGAAACTTTCCCATATCTAACACCTGACACCCCGAAACTTTCCCATATCTAACACCTGACACCCCGAAACTTTCCATATCTAACACCTGACACCCTGAAACTTTCCCATATCTAACACCTGACACCCTGAATCTTTCCCATATCTAACACATGACACCCTGAAACTTTCCCATATCTAACACCTGACACCCTGAAACTTTCCCATATCTAACACCTGACACCCCGAAACTTTCCCATATCTAACACCTGACACCCGAAACTTTCCCATATCTAACACCTGACACCCCGAAACTTTCCCATATCTAACACCTGACAACCCTGAAACTTTCCCATATCTAACACCTGACACCTGAAACTTTCCCATATCTAACACCTGACACCCCGAAACTTTCCCATATCTAACACCTGACACCCCGAAACTTTCCCATATCTAACACCTGACACCCCGAAACTTTCCCATACCTAACACCTGACACCCTGAAACTTTCCCATATCTAACACCTGACACCCTGAAACTTTCCCATATCTAACACCTGACACCCTGAAACTTTCCCATATCTTACACCTGACATCCTGAAACTTTCCCATATCTAACACCTGACACCCTGAAACTTTCCCATATCTAACACCTGACACCCTGAAACTTTCCCATATCTAACACCTGACATCCTGAAACTTTCCCATATCTAACACCTGACATCCTGAAACTTTCCCATATCTAACACCTGACACCCTGAAACTTTCCCATATCTAACACCTGACACCCTGAAACTTTCCCATATCTAACACCTGACATCCTGAAACTTTCCCATATCTGACACCTGACACCCTGAAACTTTCCCATATCTAACACTGACACCCTGAAACTTTCCCATATCTAACACCTGACATCCTGAAACTTTCCCATATCTGACACCTGACACCCTGAAACTTTCCCATATCTAACACCTGACATCCTGAAACTTTCCCATATCTGACACCTGACACCCTGAAACTTTCCCATATCTAACACCTGACACCCTGAAACTTTCCCATATCTGACACCTGACATCCTGAAAGTGTCATATCTCTGACATCCTGAATCGGACTTACCTTATCAGGAAGTGTAAACTCGAAGCCAAGGTCAGCAATGTTGTGTTCGGACATGTCGTAGCCATGTTCCTTGAAGACAGTGATCTTCCCTAGCCGCTGCTTCTCTAAGTTACGGAACTGTAACACAAGAAACAGGAGCATGTTACTGGTGCTTGGGACCTGACACAGGTGGTGGTGTTATTTGCTGGCTGGTTATGTTTGTGGAGCAGTGATGGTGGTGATATGGTGGTGGTATGGTGGTGGTGTGGTGGTGGTGATGGTGGTAGTGGTGATGACTGTACGGAGCCACAATTAATTTCGTTATATTGCTGTACTTCTGTAATAACCAGATAGCAAGATATCATGTAACGATGCAATATAGCGAGTTACTTTACAGCAAGACAGTAAAGATATTAGCACCTTACCTGGTGAAGGAGTTTGATCTTGAGAGTACCTGGAGGCGCTCCACCTATAGCTACCTGTAGACAAACACAGGTCAGTAACTGGTTCATCTGGACACACACCTGTTACGTTGATAAACTAGAAACATGTACAACACTTGGGTATCTTTACCGAGGAAACATTTCCCCAGACAGTGGCTTCATCAGTCCTATAAAAAGAATGGTGAAGATCAGGAGGAGTTTGAAGTAATCAGTCCCCCAATCTTAGAGAGAATACAGCTGTATTCTTTTAGGACTGATGGAGTGATTACAACGACTCCAGGCTGAGGGACTGAGTACATTAAACTCCTTCTGATCTTCACCATTCTTCTCTATATAGGACTGATGATAGCCGCTGTGTGGCGAAACGTTTTCAATATAAAGATACCCAAGTGTTGCACATGTGTCTAATTTATCAACCTGTCCGTTGTCTGAACCATTTATCAATACACTTATTAAGTTCAGGGGAGAAACGCTACAACCACAGGGGTTCACACAGCGCCTGCTGGATGACAGGTACTCATGACTCACGAAATCGTAATTGTAAGCAAATCACGGTACGGGTGGGGATTGAACTCGCACCAAGTGAGGGGTAAAACTCCAGGCCAGTGTGTAAGCCACAAGGCCAGCTCTTGTACCGTGGTTTGGGAGGCACTCAAGTTCAAGGGATAGGAAGGCTCTTGTACCGTGGTTAGGGAGGCACTCAAGTTCAAGGGATAGGAAGGATAAGTCTAGTTGTATAGATCAAGAGTCCTTGACTAACTTCAAATGCATCTTGAAGTAACAAAGGCACAAGAGAAGGAATATTTCATGAATATTGCAACAGTTATTTCAACAATAGATGCAGGGAGTTGAGTAGGTTGAAGGATTTCAGAACATCACCTTCCTGACGTGAAGCTGGAAGGCAGACCCCAGCGCCGCCTTCTTCAACTCAGGAGGTATAGGTTCGATGACACAGGAGGGAGGATCTCCACGGAACATTGAACCGTTCCTACTGAAGGTCTCACCGAAAGCCTGAGCCCACAGCCTCCGTGTGGAGCCGTCGGAGGTAGTTAGTTTAGACCCTGGCGACCTGTCGTTGACGGAGTCATCATGGTTCAATGTCTTGCCCAGGACGCGATGTGTGTCTTTCTGGTATTTCTTAGGGTGGACCTGAGGGCAGGAAACACGTGTGCTCAACCAGAAACTGCAGAATATTTTACAGAACAAGATTTCACATAAGTACAATCATCACACATAGTGTACATCACCCAGGACAAACCTCAAAAAAAGTTAGACAAAGTGACTTATTTCATGGCAGGAGGACAACGTTTCGCTCCGTGTCGAGCTTTACAATACCAAATAAACATCTACAAAGAGCGAAACATTGTCCTAACGAAATCTTGTATGGCAGCCGCATCCTTGACTCACTACTGACGACTCGGCCAAGTGCAGTTACAAGACAAAAATGTTTTACCGTTAAATCTCTGTTGATAGTTCATAACAGACTGATTTAGTCTCATGTCATATATGGTCCAGTGTACCAGCAGGACCAACCAGTGGGTGGTCCAGTGTACCAGCAGGACCAACCAGTGGGTGGTTCAGTGTACCAGCAGGACCAACCAGTGGGTGGTCAGTGTACCAGCAGGACCAACCAGTGGGTGGTTCAGTGTACCAGCAGGACCAACCAGTGGGTGGTTCAGTGTACCAGCAGGACCAACCAGTGGGTGGTTCAGTGTACCAGCAGGACCAACCAGTGGGTGGTCCAGTGTACCAGCAGGACCAACCAGTGGGTGGTCAAGTGTACCAGTAGGACCAACCAGTGGGTGGTTCAGTGTACCAGCAGGACCAACCAGTGGGTGGTCCAGTGTACCAGCAGGACCAACCAGTGGGTGGTCCAGTGTACCAGCAGGACCAACCAGTGGGTGGTCCAGTGTACCAGCAGGACCAACCAGTGGGTGGTCCAGTGTACCAGCAGGACCAACCAGTGGGTGGTTCAGTGTACCAGCAGGACCAACCAGTGGGTGTCCAGTGTACCAGCAGGACCAACCAGTGGGTGGTTCAGTGTACCAGCAGGACCAACCAGTGGGTGGTCCAGTGTACCAGCAGGACCAACCAGTGGGTGGTCCAGTGTACCAGCAGGACCAACCAGTGGGTGGTCCAGTGTACCAGCAGGACCAACCAGTGGGTGGTTCAGTGTACCAGCAGGACCAACCAGTGGGTGGTCCAGTGTACCAGCAGGACCAACCAGTGGGTGGTCCAGTGTACCAGCAGGACCAACCAGTGGGTGGTCCAGTGTACCAGCAGGACCAACCAGTGGGTGGTCCAGTGTACCAGCAGGACCAACCAGTGGGTGGTCCAGTGTACCAGCAGGACCAACCAGTGGGTGGTCCAGTGTACCAGCAGGACCAACCAGTGGGTGGTCCAGTGTACCAGCAGGACCAACCAGTGGGTGGTCCAGTGTACCAGCAGGACCAACCAGTGGGTGGTTCAGTGTACCAGCAGGACCAACCAGTGGGTGGTCCAGTGTACCAGCAGGACCAACCAGTGGGTGGTCCAGTGTACCAGCAGGACCAACCAGTGGGTGGTCCAGTGTACCAGTGGGACCAACCAGTGGGTGGTTCAGTGTACCAGTGGGACCAACCAGTGGGTGGTCCAGTGTACCAGCAGGACCAACCAGTGGGTGGTTCAGTGTACCAGTGGGACCAACCAGTGGGTGGTCCAGTGTACCAGCAGGACCAACCAGTGGGTGGTTCAGTGTACCAGCAGGACCAACCAGTGGGTGGTCCAGTGTACCAGCAGGACCAACCAGTGCGTGGTCCAGTGTACCAGCAGGACCAACCAGTGGGTGGTTTAGTGTACCAGCAGGACCAACCAGTGGGTGATTCAGTGTACCAGCAGGAACAACCAGTGGGTGGTTCAGTGTACCAGCAGGACCAACCAGTGGGTGGTTCAGTGTACCAGCAGGACCAACCAGTGGGTGGTCCAGTGTACCAGCAGGACCAACCAGTGGGTGGTTCAGTGTACCAGCAGGAACAACCAGTGGGTGGTTCAGTGTACCAGTAGGACCAACCAGTGGGTGGTTCAGTGTACCAGTAGGACCAACCAGTGGGTGGTCCAGTGTACCAGCAGGACCAACCAGTGGGTGGTCCAGTGTACCAGTGGGACCAACCAGTGGGTGGTCCAGTGTACCAGTAGGACCAACCAGTGGGTGGTCCAGTGTACCAGCAGGACCAACCAGTGGGTGGTCCAGTGTACCAGTAGGACCAACCAGTGCGTGGTCCAGTGTACCAGCAGGACCAACCAATTGGTGGTCCAGTGTACCAGCAGGACCAACCAGTTGGTGGTCCAGTGTACCAGCAGGACCAACCAGTGGGTGGTCCAGTGTACCAGCAGGACCAACCAGTGGCTGGTCCAGTGTACCAGTAGGACCAACCAGTGGGTGGTCCAGTGTACCAGTAGGACCAACCAGTGGGTGGTCCAGTGTGCCAGCAGGACCAACCAGTGGGTGGTCCAGTGTACCAGCAGGACCAACCAGTAGGTGGTCCAGTGTACCAGCAGGACCAACCAGTGGGTGGTCCAGTGTACCAGCAGGACCAACCAGTGGGTGGTCCAGTGTACCAGCAGGACCAACCAGTGGGTGGTTCAGTGTACCAGCAGGACCAACCAGTGGGTGGTCCAGTGTACCAGCAGGACCAACCAGTGCGTGGTCCAGTGTACCAGCAGGACCAACCAGTGGGTGGTTTAGTGTACCAGCAGGACCAATCAGTGGGTGATTCAGTGTACCAGCAGGAACAACCAGTGGGTGGTTCAGTGTACCAGCAGGACCAACCAGTGGGTGGTTCAGTGTACCAGCAGGACCAACCAGTGGGTGGTCCAGTGTACCAGCAGGACCAACCAGTGGGTGGTTCAGTGTACCAGCAGGACCAATCAGTGGGTGGTTCAGTGTACCAGCAGGACCAACCAGTGGGTGGTTCAGTGTACCAGCAGGACCAACCAGTGGGTGGTTCAGTGTACCAGCAGGACCAACCAGTGAGTGGTCCAGTGTACCAGCAGGACCAACCAGTGGGTGGTTCAGTGTACCAGCAGGACCAACCAGTGGGTGGTTCAGTGTACCAGCAGGACCAACCAGTGGGTGGTCCAGTGTACCAGCAGGACCAACCAGTGAGTGGTTCAGTGTGCCAGCAGGACCAACCAGTGGGTGGTTCAGTGTACCAGCAGGACCAACCAGTGGGTGGTTCAGTGTACCAGCAGGACCAACGAGTGGGTGGTTCAGTGTACCAGCAGGACCAACCAGTGGGTGGTTCAGTGTACCAGCAGGACCAACCAGTGGGTGGTTCAGTGTACCAGCAGGACCAACCAGTGGGTGGTTCAGTGTACCAGCAGGACCAACCAGTGCGTGGTCCAGTGTACCAGCAGGACCAACCAGTGGGTGGTTCAGTGTACCAGCAGGACCAACCAGTGGGTGGTTCAGTGTATCAGCAGGACCAACCAGTGGGTGGTTCAGTGTACCAGCAGGACCAACCAGTGGGTGGTCCAGTGTACCAGCAGGGCAAACCAGTGGGTGGTCTAGTGTACCAGCAGGACCAAGCAGTGGGTGGTCCAGTGTACCAGCAGGACCAACCAGTGGGTGATCCAGTTTACCAGCAGGACCAACCAGTGGGTGATCCAGTTTACCAGCAGGACCAACCAGTGGGTGATCCAGTTTACCAGCAGGACCAACCAGTGGGTGATCCAGTTTACCAGCAGGACCAACCAGTGGGTGATCCAGTTTACCAGCAGGACCAACCAGTGGGTGATCTAGTGTACCAGCAGGACCAATCAGTGGGTGGTCTAGTGTACCAGCAGAACCAACCAGTGGGTGGTACAGTGTACCAGCAGGACCAACCAGTGGGTGATCCAGTTTACCAGCAGGACCAACCAGTGGGTGATCTAGTGTACCAGCAGGACCAATCAGTGGGTGATCTAGTGTACCAGCAGGACCAACCAGTGGGTGATCTAGTGTACCAGCAGGACCAATCAGTGGGTGGTCTAGTGTACCAGCAGAACCAACCAGTGGGTGGTACAGTGTACCAGCAGGACCAACCAGTGGGTGGTACAGTGTACCAGCAGGACCAACCAGTGGGTGGTACAGTGTACCAGCAGGAGCAACCAGTGTGTGGTCTAGTATACCAGTATAACCTACCATGTGAGCATGCCAGATGATGTCCATGTCGTAGCAAGGAACGAGGAACTCTGACGGGTGGGTAGACTTCAGATATATAAACTTCTTGTAGCGTTCCACCGCCTCCTTCAGGAATGGCTTCGTCAGGCAGTGTGGTAATGACACCTAAACCAGGAACAGTACTATTAGCACACTGACTGGTAAGCACAGAACACAAGCACATGATACATCAAGCAGTGAACACAAACATGATAGATCAAGAAGTGAACACAAGCACATGATAAATCAAGTAACGAACACAAACATGACAGATCAAGCACTGAACACAAACATGATATATCAAGCACTGAACACAAACATGATATATCAAGCAGTGAACACAAACATGATAGATCAAGCATTGAATACAAGCACATGATAGATCAAGCAGTGAACACAAACACGACAGATCAAGCAGTGAACACAAACACATGACAGATCAAGTAATGAACACAAACATGATAGATTAAGCAGTGAACACAAACATGATATATCAAGCAGTGAACAGAAACATGATAGATCAAGCAGTGAACACAAACATGATAGATCAAGCAGTGAACACAAACATGATAGATCAAGCAGTGAACACAAACATGATAGATCAAGCAGTGAACACAAACATCATAGATCAACTAATGAAAAAAAACATGATAGATCAAGTAATGAACACAAACATGATAGATAAAGCAGTGAACACAACCATGATAGATCAAGTAATGAGCACAAACATGATAGATCAAGTAATGAAGCACAAACATTATAGATCAAGCAGTAGAACACAAACATGATAGATCAAGTAATGAGCACAAACATGATAGATCAAGTAATGAGCCACAACATTATAGATCAAGCAGTGAACACAAACATGATAGATCAAGTAATGAGCACAAACATGATAGATCAAGTAATGAGCACAAACATTATAGATCAAGCAGTGAACACAAACATGATAGATCAAGTAATGAGCACAAACATGATAGATCAAGTAATGAGCACAAACATTATAGATCAAGCAGTGAACACAAACATGATAGATCAAACAGTGAACACAAACATGATAGATCAAGCAGTGAACACAAACATGATAGATCAAACAGTGAACACAAGCATGATAGATCAAACAGTGAACACAAACATGATAGATCAAAACAGTGAACACAAACATGATAGATCAAACAGTGAACACAAACATGATAGATCAAACAGTGAACACAAACATGATAGATCAAACAGTGAACACAAACATGATAGATCAAACAGTGAACACAAACATGATAGATCAAGTAATGAAAACAAACATGATAGATCAAGCAGTGAACACAAGCATGATAGATCAAACAGTGAACACAAGCATGATAGATCAAACAGTGAACACAAACATGATAGATCAAACAGTGAACACAAACATGATAGATCAAGTAATGAACACAAACATGATAGATCAAGTAATGAACACAAACATGATAGATCAAGTAATGAACACAAACATGATAGATCAAGCAGTGAACACAAGCATGATATATCAAACAGTGAATACAAGCATGATAGGTCAAACAGTGAACAGAAACATGATAGATCAAACAGTGAACTCAAACATGATAGATCAAGTAATGAACACAAACATGATAGATCAAGCAGTGAACACAAACATGATAGATCAAGCAGAGAACACAAACATGATAGATCAAGTAATGAACACAAACATGATAGATCAAGTAATGAACACAAACATGATAGATCAAGCAGTGAACACAAACATGATAGATCAAGTAATGAACACAAACATGATAGATCAAGTAATGAACACAAACATGATAGATCAAGTAATGAACACAAACATGATAGATCAAGTAATGAATACAAACATGATAGATCACGTAATGAACACAAACATGATAGATCAAGTAATGAACACAAACATGATAGATCAAGCAGTGAACACAAACATGATAGATCAAGCAGTGAACACAAACATGATAGATCAAGTAATGAACACAAACATGATAGATCAAGTAATGAACACAAACATGATAGATCAAGCAGTGAACACAAACATGATAGATCAAGTAACGAACACAAACATGATAGAGCAAGTAATGAACACAAACATGATAGATCAAGCAGTGTACACAAACATGATAGATCAAGCAGTGAACACAAACATGATAGATCAAGTAATGAACACAAACATAATAGATCAAGTAATGAACACAAACACGATAGATCAAGTAATGAACACAAATATGATAGATCAAGTAATGAACACAAACACGATAGATCAAGAAATGAACACAAACATGATAAAAAAAGGATTCAAGCAGTGAACACAAACATGATAGATCAAGTAATGAACACAAACATGATAGATCAAGTAATGAACACAAACATGATAGATCAAGTAATGAACACAAACATGATAGATCAAGTAATGAACACAAAACATGATAGATCATGTAATGAACCAAAAACATGTTTAGATCAAGTATGAACACCAACATGATAGATCAAAGTAATGAACACAAACATGATAGATCAAGTAATGAACACAAACATGATAGATCTAGTAATGAACACAACATTATAGATCAAGAAATGAACACAGACATGATAGATCAAGCAGTGAACACAAACATGATAGATCAAGCAGTGAACACAAACATGATAGATCAAGTAATGAACACAAACATGATAGATCAAGCAGTGAACACAAACATGATAGGTCAAGTAATTGACACAAACATGGTAGATCAAGTAATGAACACAAACATGATAGATCAAGCAGTGAACACAAACACATGATAGATCAAACAGTGAACACAAACATGATAGATCAAACAGTGAACACAAACATGATAGATCAAGCAGTGAACACAAACATGATAGATCAAGCAGTGAACACAAACATGATAGATCAAACAGTGAACACAAAGATGATAGATCAAGCAGTGAACACAAACATGACAGATCAAACAGTGAACACAAACACATGATAGATCAAGCAGTAAACACAAACATGATAGATCAAGTAATGAACACAAACATGATAGATCAAGTAATGAACACAAACATGATAGATCAAGTAATGAACACAAACGTGATAGATCAAGCAGTGAACACAAATATGATAGATCAAGCAGTGAACACAAACATGATAGATCAAGTAATGAACACAAGCATGATAGATCAAGCAGTGAGCACAAACATGATAGATCAAGTAATGAACACAAACATGATAGATCAAGTAATGAACACAAACATGATAGATCAAGTAATGAAGACAAAAGATGATAGATCAAGTAATGAACACAAACACGAAAGATCAAGCAGTGAACACAAACATGACAGATCAAGTAGTGAACACAAACATGATAGATCAAGTATTGAACACAAACATGATAGATCAAGCAGTGAACACAAACATGATAGATCAAGTAATGAAAACAAACATGATAGATCAAGCAGTGAACACAAACATGATAGATCAAGCAGTGAACACAAACATGATAGATCAAGCAGTGAACACAAACACATGATAGATCAAACAGTGAACACAAACATGATAGATCAAGCAGTGAACACAAACATGATAGATCAAGCAGTGAACACAAACACATGATAGATCAAACAGTGAACACAAACATGATAGATAAAGCAGTGAACACAAACATGATAGATCAAACAGTGAACACAAACACATGATAGATCATGCAGTGAACACAAACATGATAGATCAAGCAGTGAACGCAAACATGATAGATCAAGCAGTGAACACAAACATGATAGATCAAGCAGTGAACACAAACATGATAGTCAAGAAAGTGAACACAAACATGATGGATCAAACGTGAACACAAACATGATAGATCAAGAGTGAACACAAACACTTGATAGATCAAGCAGTGAACACAAACATGATAGATCAAGCAGTGAACACAAACATGATAAATCAAGCATTGAACACAAACATGATAGATCAAACAGTGAACACAAACATGATAGATCAAGCAGTGAACCAAAACATGATAGATCAGCTAGTGAACACCAAACATGATAGATTAAGCAGTGAACATCAAACATGATAAATCAAGCAGTGAACACAAACTGATAAAATCAAGTAATGAACACAAACATGATAGATCAAGTAATGAACACAAACATGATAGATCAAGTAATGAACACAAACATGATAGATCAAGTAATGAACACAAACATGATAGATCAAGTAATGAACACAAACATGATAGATCAAGTAATGAACACAAACATGATAGATCAAGTAATGAACACAAACATGATAGATCAAGCAGTGAACACAAACATGATAGATCAAGTAATGAACACAAGCATGATAGATCAAGCAGTGAGCACAAACATGATAGATCAAGTAATGAACACAAACATGATAGATCAAGTAATGAACACAAACATGATAGATCAAGTAATGAACACAAACATGATAGATCAAGTAATGAACACAAACATGATAGATCAAGCAGTGAACACAAACATGATAGATCAAGTAGTGAACACAAACATGATAGATCAAGTAATGAACACAAACATGATAGATCAAGTAATGAACACAAACATGATAGATCAAGCAGTGAACACAAACATGATAGATCAAGCAGTGAACACAAACATGATAGATCAAGCAGTGAACACAAACACATGATAGATCAAACAGTGAACACAAACATGATAGATCAAGTAGTGAACACAAACATGATAGATCAAACAGTGAACACAAACACATGATAGATCATGCAGTGAACACAAACATGATAGATCAAGCAGTGAACACAAACATGATAGATCAAGCAGTGAACACAAACATGATAGATCAAGCAGTGAACACAAACATGATAGATCAAGCAGTGAACACAAACATGATGGATCAAACAGTGAACACAAACATGATAGATCAAGCAGTGAACACAAACATGATAGATCAAGCAGTGAACACAAACATGATAGATCAAGCAGTGAACACAAACATGATAAATCAAGCAGTGAACACAAACATGATAGATCAAACAGTGAACACAAACATGATAGATCAAGAAGTGAGCACAAACATGATAGATCAAGCTGTGAACACAAACATGATAGATTAAGCAGTGAAC